ATCATTCGAACTACCATCCTTTTCAATTCTACGGAACTTTCATTCCTTTTTTTTTTTTTGGTAAACTTATAAACCATGTCATGCTAAGGTCATCATGCTAGATATTAACACCCCTTGGATAATTTCCTACCTATTGCAGGATGTTAAAGCTCTTCTAACACGCACTACAAAAAAACATGGTTTTAGTGACGGAATTTAGCTACGGAATTTTGAATTTAGCGACGGAATTAGCGACGGAACGGATTACCGACGGAATTTGTTCCGTTGCTAATTCCTTTGTCGCTAATTAGTGACGGATTTTCTGTCACTAATTACCGACGGAAAATCCGTCGCTAATTACGTTGCTAACTCGATTTTTTAAAAAATAAAATAAAATGCCACGTGGCACCTTTACTAATTGCCACGTCATCATTGGGACCACCTCCACGTGTCGCTGCCACCACACCTCTGCCTGCCACGTGTGCACCAGGTGTCACCACCACATAATTCCCTTCTCAAAGTGACTTCTCCATGGCTTGAACCCAGGACCTCTTCCGTGCGCACGTGCGGCTTGACCAGTTGAGCCGTAATGAACCTGTTGATTTATTATGTAAAATTAAATATATATATATATTATATTATTTTACACAAACAATTATATATACATATATATTATTAAAAACTAAAAATATACTATATGATAATTTTAATCATAACTATTTTAATGAAAAAATAATTTTTAAATATTTGTTTTACTATTTTTATAATTTTTTATTTTTTTAAAAATATTTTTAATATAATTTTAATTTCTAACGACACTAATTTTGAATTTTACATCATAAATAATTTTTCATAAATATTTTTTAAATTTATTTTTTAATTAACATTGATAAGATATACAATTTAATTATATATATATATTATATTTCATTATATTATATTATGTATATGTGGTTTATATATTTGAAGAAAATCATTTACAATTAGTCAAAAAAATCTTGTTATTCAAAAAATTCAAAAAATAACTACTATAATAAAATCTAATAAATTATTCTATATAAAAAATTAAATGATTTAAATAGATTATGATAAACAGTATTTTCCTACTTGTATATATATCCTATGTAATTTATTTTCTTAAAATTTGCGACAGAATTTGTGTCGCTAATTTTTTTATGGATTAGCGACGGAATCTTTTTCTGTCAGACAATTCCGTCGCTAATTCCGTCAAAAAAAATTAGCGACGGAATTAGCGACGGAATCTTTTTTTGTCAAACAATTCCGTCGCTAATTCCGTCGCTAAATACAGATTAGCGATGGAATTTAGCGACGGACAGAAATTCCGTCGCTAATCGGTCAAAAAAATTATCGACGGAATTTCCGTCGCAAACTCCATCACTAATTTGCGACAGAACAAATTCCGTCGCTAATTTGCGACGGAATTTGTTTCCGTCGCAAATTCCGTCGCTAATCAGCTGTTTTTTTGTAGTGACGGTTTATTTGTTACTACTTACATTAATGCGAATTTATGTTTTCATTAAAAAAAAATATTGTTCATGTCGATTTTAATTTAGTAAAATATTATTCATATTTGCATTTTTTTTTTTTTGCCAACGCATATCTACAAGTTTAAGGCTTGGTAATAATTTACAAGTCTTCGATGTTAAATGTTATTACGCATATATATATGCTAAAGAAGCTTTAAATATCTTTGCTTTAAATATCTTTGTATATTAAATATATCCATGCATATTTAAGGGTGTGCTGTTAGTTAATTATTAGTCATTATCTAATTATTAATTTAAACAACTCAAACAAAATAAAAAAATAGAAGATTTTCTTCTTCTTTTTTTTGCCAACAATAGAAAGTTAAACTAAACACAACCAAATCAACAACCATGCTCAGCTGATTTGTAGTTCAGCTGAGTCAAAATAAACAACCCGAATATTGAGGCAAGAACATATATATAAATCTATCATTTTAGTAGATGAAAAAATATTGATTTAAAAATACTTTCAAAATTAAAAAATATATATTTACTATTATCAGTTTCTAACATTTCCATCAGTCTCTCAATTCCATGGATCTCGATCTTTTCTCTCATTCACTGCTTTATTTGATCTGGTCATTGAAATATTTTTGCTTCATTCTACTACCAAAGATATACCGAATACTGAGGTAAGAAAATATAAATATTTTATTTTAATGGATGAAATATATATTAGAAAATTCTTCTAGGTGAAAATAAAAGAACAAGTGAAGTAAAAGATTTACTATCATTAATTTCTAGTGTTCTTGACAGTCTCTTTGATTCCATGGATCTCGCGCTTTTATCTCATTCAACGCTTTATTTTTCAATGTATAACAGGTTGATTTGGTCATTCCAATATTTTTGCTTCATTCAATTACCAAAACTATCCTTCCCATATTTTTAATAAATATTGATTATCTAAATAATTGAGGATAAGGTTTTGTAATTAACTACCAAATTTTTTAATTTTAATCATCAAAAGAAAAGGCAAAAGAATAGATTTCTGCAGGGGAAAAGAAATAGGTTCTTGCATACTTTTACTTTTTTGTTTTCATTTGGCCTTTTCATCTCTTCCCCTAACTTTCTTTAAAATTCTAAAGAATTAGGACAAAGAAAGAACATTTCTTCATGGTAACAAAAATTATTCCTATATTGTAAAATAGACAGGGATCAATTTCGATGATTTTTGGAAAATAAATTTAAAACTTTGTATTCGATTAATTATCACTGGCTGGCATTTTTATGTAATAAAAACATCACTAAATTAAAACAATTAATTTAAAGGTCCTTATAGTTTGTTTTAATTTCAAATAAGATTCTTGTAAGTCATTTCGTTCGAATTATGTCTTTGTCATTTAATCACATAATTTTAATTTATAGATTATTTATAGAAATACAACGGTGTTAAATAAAAGGAAGAAAATTTCATAAAAATCCATGAACTTTTATAAATTGAAGTTAATGAGTTTAACGAGTTTTACACTTAAAGATTAATATCTATAATGGATCAAACTATAAGGACATAATACCTGATTTAAAATTGACGTAAATTGTAAGGACATATGGATTAATTTTCTCTTAAATAACTGAAATATTTTCAATATAATGAAATAGATGCCAAGAAAATATATCAACACTATATGGGCTTTTTTTACGTTGAACAAAATAAACATGCTTTAAATTTTTTTTTACAGTAGAAAAATAAGTATTCAATAAATTCCATGTAGATAAAAATATTTGCTATAAGCCAAAAATGGAAGCCACTTGAGACAACAAGATGACATGGAGAGGATAAGGTTCAATTAATCCATGATCTGCTGCCATCCAAGATGGCATCAACATAAAACCAATTAAATTATTTTCTCCACTGAATAAATAAATAAATATGAAAAATAAACAATGCTACAAACGGATGTTGTGGACCCCATTACGATAAAATGTTAAGAGAAGGAAACTGGGGACCAAAAATCCAGTGGTGGGTAATACAGTATATGACATTGTATTCAGGTAAAATGACGAACCGAGACTCATAAAAAGTATATAATCTGAATTAAAGATAATAAATTTTAAAAATTTTAAAAATTAAGATAAGGACCAGAGGACCTAAAATCAATTAAGTTAAAAATATTATATCCTTTAATGATACACTTGATTTAAAAAAAGAGGAATATGCGTTTAAAAAATGAATTTAATTTTGGGATTTTATAATTGGGATTTAAATAAAACAGTCTTTTTATTTTTTATTCTTATTACTTTTTACATTGAAAAAGTAATAAGAATGAGTGGTGTTAAATTTTTTACCATCGAGTTATTTTTTCGCAAGACCTCCCCTATAGTATCTTCATTGCAATAGAGTTTAGCCACTAAACTGGGGACAGTTCATTATAAATAGAGAAAATACATGTGATAAATTCTTTAAAAAATTAATATAATTTGTAAAATATTACCTACTCGTTTGATTCTATTTATAAGATTGAAAGAGTATTGATGACAAAAAGAAAGATAGAAAATATATATTTTTGTTATATCTATAAGTCACATTAAATGTATAACTGTATTATGCACGAAAACAAACAGTTCAAATATACACTAAATATGAATAAATGGCAAAAAAAATAAATATGAATAAAATTTAAAAAATTATTAAATTTTAAAATAATTTAATGAAATTTAATTTTTTTATTCTAGTAAAACGTATAAGAAGTACTTTATAAATAAGATTAGAGGGATAAAGTTTAGAAAATAGATTCATAATCCCAGTTTTCAAAGTTTTTAATCATGAGAAACAAGGACTTAAATATAATTTATAAAACTATAAGAACTGAATTAAAATTAATAGAAACTAATGGGCCAAATGTATGACACATTTTCTTTTCAAAAATCTACTTTAACAAAGTAAATATTTCTGTTATGGTCCCCCTTTCTGAAAAATCCAACAATGGATATATATTTCACAAGGGCCCATGCCTTTATTTATTTTCTGTTCCTACTTAGGCCAATCATATTCATATCCAAACACAGACAGAAGAAAATCCACGTTTGTGCCACTCGAGATATATGCACATTTTGCCGCCTTCTAATTTCTTCTTCCCCACATTGGGGTTTCCGAATTATAATTATTTAATTAAGTAGGTCCTACTTATTTTTCAAGGGAAAATTGAAAATTTGAAATTGGAAGGGGAGGGGCATTTTTGTAAGCGAGGGCAGTTTTCCAGGCAGTTATGGTCTTCGAAAATCAAGCAAAATCTTTTGCCTCAAATTTGTGATTATGAAACAGCTGTGCCACAATCAAAATTTAAAAGGACATGAAATATAGAGATTCTGTGTGAGTGAGAAAGAGAGGGGGATATCAGGGCAGAAGTCATTAACAGAGAGTGTGTCGAGAGAGAGGGAGAGAGAGAGGGAGGAGAGAGCCATTGCCTCAACTCTTTTCACTGGGAAAGAGGGAGGGAGAGGAAAAAAAACAATTTTTGTTATTTGGGTCTTCTTTTTTTTCCCTGTTATAATCATTTCTCTCTCAAACTTTAAAGTTTTGGGTTGAACAGATTTTAAAGATGGCTGCTTGAAGCACTTGGTGAAACACACTGTGCCTCCTTCTGTTTTATGGGTATTGGGTATGTTTTGCAAGTTCAGAATTTCAAGGGCCAGCTTCAATTCCTAGTTCGCTAATGTTGTGTATTGTTCTTAGAAATTGCTGTGTTCTCACTCTCTCCTTTGGAGAGTTCATGTCTGTTCAATGCTTGTTTGATTTTTGTGATGTCATTTCAGTTATCCTCGTTACCCATTTCTGAATTACATGGGTTGTCATTTCTCCGCGCATTTAAGATTTCATTTGGGGATTTGAGAGGGAATTCAGGCAAATTTACTGCACTTTTTATCTATAACTAGATTCATATGATAACATAGGGTAGCTTTTGCTGGAGTACTCAAAATTTTCAAGACATGTTGAATCCCTTACCAAATATTTCATTGTGATTGATTGATCTTTCCATTTTTCTGGCAATCTTCAGTTTTTGGCTTGTTTTCTGATAACCTTGATTTGATTCATCTTCTTGTGGTAGGATATATTTGCAGTGATTAGGTACATAATGGATATTTCAGACTACACAAGAATTGTTTTGGATAAGATTCAGAAATTTGAACCAGAAAATGCCACAAAGATCATTGGCTATCTCCTTTTACATGACCTTGGAGAGCAGGAATTGGCTAAATTAGCTTCATGCCCTGACCATATGATACGCGAAATCGCGTTTAAGGCCAAAACCGAGGTACAAAATTTGGCTGCTAAATCTGTCATACTTTCAAGCTCACCTCCTATTAACCCTCAACCAAGCCACTTACCCATAATCTCCCCAAGAACGACTACTCCATCAAGCTTTCAGGCTCATACCCCTAACTTTTGGGAGGCACAGGCGGCTAACAGTGTTAACCCAGAGTTTATGTCAATGGGTTACATAGATTCAATTCCAGAACTTCAGAAGCAGAGCCAGCTTTTGTGTGCAGAGAATCATATAGATCCTTCTAATGCTGGGGCTGTAGGGATTGGCAATGATTACTTTAGCTTAGATGCTTCAAATTTGAATTTCAATGGAAAATCTGGTAGGAGGTTTGGTGTGTCTGAATTTCCCGTCAAGACATGTCACTATTTCAACAAAGGATACTGTAAGCATGGAAGTAGTTGTAGATACTATCATGGACAAGTTGCAGCTGAGAACTTCCCTCAGATAAATGGGAATGGTGATGATCAAGGAGGATTGTCGGGCTCGCTTGCGCAGTTAGAGGCAGAACTTATTGAGCTTCTAAGGCCAAGGAGAGGCAATCCTATTTCCATTGCTTCCCTTCCAATGGCATATTATGAGAAATACAAAAAGGTGCTTCAGGCAGAAGGTTATCTAACTGAGAGCCAGAGACATGGTAAATCGGGATATAGTTTAACAAAGCTTCTTGCACGGTTGAAAAATAGTATACGACTAATAGACAGGTGAATTCTTCTCTATCCTGACATAATTGTTATTCAATAAGTTTATGGATAATTTGTTTCTCCAATGTGACTTGTTCCTTCTGGTTGATTCACAGACCTCACGGGCAGCATGCTGTGGTTCTGGTGGAAGATAGGTACTTGGAAAGAGGAGATCCCAGTCAAAATATAAGCGCATCAAGACAAATATATTTGACATTTCCAGCAGATAGCACTTTCACAGAACAGGATGTCTCAGACTACTTCAAGTAAGTTAAAATTTGTTATATTTTTGCATTGTCATGCTTTCTTCACAGGTGAGAGATTCGTGTCAGCAAACTGATTTCACTCCCCTGCATTTGTAGTTCCTTTGGGCGGGTTGAAGATGTCAGGATTCCATCCCAACAGAGAAGGATGTTTGGTTTCGTGACATTTGTTGATCCAGAAACTGTTAAAATGATATTGGAAAAAGGAAATCCTCACTATGTACGTGGCTCACGTGTGCTTGTGAAACCTTACCGGGAGAAGTCAAAGCTTATAGACAGGTATAATCCCTGACATTCCCCCCCCCCCCCCGGCTTGAACAAAAAGTTGTTGATTTTATTGTTTCACATCCTCATATGAACCAGAAAGTTAAACTATTTTAACTAAGATCACCAATCAAAGCTAGTTTTTCCAGAATAAAGCATTAAATGATTAGCATAAGTAATGCAAAATGTGAAAATGAATGAATCTAATAATGTGTCACCAGTATCAACAATAAGATTCTTCATGTTATTGATTCTTCGTTCCTTTGTTCCTCCTTCCTGGATCAGCCCTTGCACTCAAAACGTTTGATAATATGTTGAATTGTTGAGACCTGGGAAGATTCTCTTATGTCATCGGACAAATGCTGTGACTATTCATTCTTTTCATGAGTCTTTCATTTGATATAGGAAATATTCAGAGAGAGTTGAGCCTCCGGTTGTTTGTTCACCACATTATGTAGACATGGACTTTGAAGCTACCCCAAGTGAGTTTGGTATTTTCCCTGAACTGAAACTTGGAGTCTAATATGTTATGGTTAACAACATAATCTTAAACCATTCTTGTAGTGCCAAGCTATGGGAACCCTAGATTTCTGAGGAGACAGCTCATGGATGAGCAAGAACAGGTCCTTGAATTTCAGAGACATCTTGCTGAGCTGCAGCTGACCCAAAAACCTCTGTCAAGCTCCCCTCATTTCGGATGCTCCTTGGACCAGTTAAATGTTTCAGAAGGTGTGAAAATGCTGTATCACATATTCCCATGGCTTGTCCTTCTCTTTATATGCCTTGTACCTTTTGTACTTACTGAATCATTTGTCATGCAGATCATTTCAATTTTCATCCTGCAGAATCTCTCAATTATGCTCTAAATGACAAGCCCGGGCATACAGACACCAGTTGTGCCGATGAAGACAGGTACAGATTGACTTTGTATCGGTTTCTCTTGCCCTTAAAGATGCCTATGCTGAAATACATTAGCAATCTCTTGGCTGTCACATAATATTCCACATTACGGTTGATTCTTTTTCATTCATTCAAACCTCTGAAATAATTGATCATTCTTGACTTCCATATCAATTTAACAGATTTCATTTGGTGATTACTGCGAAAATCTGACATTATTCTTCTTGCCCATAGGACTCACCTCCTTCATGTCCATAGAATAAAATTAGCAACTTTTGCCTTCATAACTCTAGAAAATTCTATCTGTTTCCTGATTTACTTCTTCTTGTGTACTCATTCACTGAGGGCAATATTTGTTTTTAAATATGAGTTCTTGCAACTCCGATTTTTCTGACACTTCAAATGCTGCTGTGAATCCTCTCATTTTTCTTTATTTTACTCAGAGGTCAAGGAATCGATCTCCCAGAGAGCCCATTTTCATTTCCAGTAGATAGTGGAATTTCAACAGTCATATAGATTCCGAAGGAAAAGGACTTTGGTACAGTTCTTATCTGTTTGCTATCAAATCTTTCAGTAGAAGTATGATAAGTGGAATGCCATTAAGCCATTAGAAAAAAAATCCACTTGTTATATTTTTATTAGAAAACTTGAAATCAAGCATCTTATGAACTTTACCTGAATTTTGTCCCCGCAGGAGAGACACAGAGTTAAAATTGCACCAGCCAAAAAAAAAAAAAAAAAGAGAAACATCTTTAGTTTTGCTTTCTTTCCCCCCCAGTTTTCTGAAGCACAGGCCATATCATCAGTTTCCTTTGTCGAGTAGCTCGTCGACTAAGCCTCTGTTCAGCTCCAACAGATACATACTAGCGAAAGAAGAAGAAGAACAAGAAACAAGGAAGAATTTCCTCTTTAGTTCCTGACAATGGGTGTCTGACAAATAGAAATATGATATGATATATGTAAGAATGTTATAGTTTTTTGGGTAATATATCACGAGTTCTACTTGTCAAAAGGCTGAGTTAACAAGACTGTTCTAGATTGTCACTTCAGAGTGAAAGGCTCAATCTTTTGAAATGTAGTGTTCTATAGATGAGTTACCCTAATGTTTTTTAGTTACAGGAAGAAGGCAAAGGGTTTGGTTTTTAGCTAGGAAGATCCTTATGCAGTCATTTAGTATATGAAAGAAACTACATCGTAGTTTTCTTGTTGAAGTATCTTGGAATTTGTGGATCTGGACAGAGATGAACCATTTGAATTACTTACTGATAAAAGTTTTAATAATAATAGCTTACACTACTTCTATCTGAAGTGTTTGTCACTGTCTTACTGATAGACTTTTTGTTCTTATTTGTTTTGTCCCTTCACAATTTTAGTTTCATTTTATGTTTACACATTTTAGATAGACTTTTGTTGATCTCTTATCTGTGTTTTAATATTGAATCAAGCCTATGGGTTGATAGACTTTCTAAGTCTCATTATTGTTTATAGTTGTAAGCAATTGCACACTTTCTTCCCCCCCCCCCCCCAATATATAGTTACATGATATCAGATACTACCGAGTTAGATTCATGTATTGTCAAATTCAATTAGAAGTATTTTTCAAACCATTAACACGACAGTATGTTGATTTTATAATTGATATTGATGACACTTCATCCAATTCTAAATGAAAGGGCTAATAGAATGTTTGTTTTGATCCTAAATGTTGGATTATAACTTATTTTAGTTTTCTAATTTATAATTTTTTCTGATATTCTTCCTATTACTTGCACGTATGTTGATAGACTTTTCACCAAGGAAGTAGTTTTCAGAACAAATAATTAGAAAGAGGTATTGTAGGAAAATTAATATATTTTTTTATAAATAACTAATTTAACTAATTTTAATATCTGCAAGTTAATTTTCTAACTTCTACATTTAGGACTTATGGAGTACATGTGAATATGTACTTTAATTTTCTTGTCTTCCTATCTCTAACATTATTTCGTCTTGTAAAGCTTATTTCTTCTAAATTTTCATGCTATTGAACAAAACTTCATAAACCAAAAGCAGATTGTATCTAAGAAAATAGAGATCAAAGAATAAGCTTATCTACAATACATGGACAGTATTCAATTGTACGAGGATGATGACAATATATTTGAAAAACCCTAAATTTGTTTTGATTGTTTCAATCCCAAATAGGGGCAACGGATATTAAATTGGGCGGGCCATAATTTGACAAAGACAGTGATTAAATGCTCTCATTGTTAGAAAGTGACATTCATTTAATATTGCCATTGTAATTATAGTACAATGAGGCATGGTTTAATCCTTGTTAAAATAAAAAACAATGGACCAAACGGAATAAAATGAAACTGCAAAGTAGCATCAAATTAAGTACATTACTGGCTTTGATTTTTTTTTTTTTGAAAAAAATATGCAAATGAATAAACCATACTCCATCCAGTCTCAAATAAATGTGATGATGCCTCATCAAAATTGAGAAAAATAGTTAAAATATTAAGTTCATTAAATTTGTCACAAACTAATTTTTTTCCCAAAAAAACCCATTTAATGATTAAAATACTACATTAGATTAATGGTCCTTGAAAATTTTCTTTATCTTTTTAGACCCAAAAAAGCTTCTTCTTCTTTTTTTTTGGTTAGGCACGGATATCTTTTTATTAGAGGTAATCTTGTTCAAAACATTATCAGGCACTAAATATGAGTATCTCTACCAATAGAGATTCAAAACCCTAATATGTCACATTATGAGAAACTAGTTATTTTCGCTATACTTCCGTTAATAACCCAGAAAAACTTAATACTACCTCCATTCCTTCATATAAGATTTTGTTTGACTTTTATTTTGGTCCTAAATATAAGACCCCAATTCACTTTGTCTCTCATATTTATGTATTTTTTTTCCAAAGTAATCCTTCTAACAATGGTAGTTTTAGATAACAAACTTGATTAACAAGGATATTTTAGAAAAAACCAACACATATTCATTACAAATAACTAACTTAACTAAATCCTTAATCTCTCCAAATTAGTCAATTGGGTCTTATAATTAAGACTGGAGGTAGTATTTCAAATATTGGAATGAGTGACTTACAATTTGGGCCACCTCAATCTTCTCCTTCACGCCGTATATATGGGACTGGACAGAGTACAAGTTAAAGCAAGGCCTTGTTTTATTTTTATGTTTTTTTTATAAGCACCTTGTTTTAATTACATACACACATTGGGTTATTTATAACTATAATTTTATTTATTAACATTGTTTTAGTTTAATCTTTCAATATTTTCGAATTTTAATTAAAATTTTAATTTTATTTTGTTTCATTCGTATAATTTTATCATGTTTTAATTTGCTTTATTCCAGGACGTTCATACAAGAGAGAAGGATTTCTTTTGCACTACGCGCAAATCAAAACATTCTATAAGCTATAACTTTCTGCCCTCCATGGGTTGAGATGTGAGGCCCACTAACTTGTGCATGCCCCCAAGAGCCAAAGGTTGGGTCCATGACTGCTTCTTAAAGCTCAGTACATGTAATGGGCTCTAAGTAAGCTAGGGGCCCAAGCTTTTGTAGGCCCAACCCAAAGACTTGTTCGTTTCTTTCACCATGAATTATCTATGTTAAATTTCCTCATGTGACCAATGAGGATTGGATCCAATAAAAGAGATTAGTTCCTCACGATATAGTGAATCAAAAATAAAATCCCTATTAGGAGAGATGCTGACGTTTAGTGTCTGACGGTACATCAAATAAGATTACCTCTAATAGGAGGATACCTATACTTTAGCCAAAAAAAAATTTGAATCTTGTATTTAGTATTCAATAGTATCTTGAATAGGGTTACTTCCAATAGGAGAATACTTGTACAAAAAAAAAAAAAATCCTCATGTGCATCTAATGAGAGTTTGACAAAATGGGCTAATTTTTTATAACATGGTGAATCAATATTTGAATATTTGTTTTGAGAGCCTTATATTTAATGACATTTCAAATAAGATTATTTTCCCAAAAAAAGGATATCTATACACTAACAAAAGAATTTTCTTATGTGCACCCTATCTCTAGCTTTTCCTCCTATTTTTTAAAATCAAAAGCAGCCAGTGACAAAATAGACTCTCAAAATTCATGGGATTGTGTTAATGGAATTGGGATCCATGGCGAGCATTGATAATTGGACCAAACATGCTTGGATAGGGGAAAAACGTGATTTTAGATAATAGATTTTTCCAAAAACTGATCAATCTAACTTTTTTAAAATTCTTGATTTTACCCCTCCCACCCATGGTTTCTAGTTCAATAATCACTTTCTGATTTTTTTTTTTTTTGCGATGTTTGGATGAAATTAAATAAAATTATGGTTTTCTCTCCAAACTATGGTTTTGGGCAGCATCCAAACACAAAAAGAGAATGTTGATTATAATTGTGTAGTTTTCCAATGCCTTTTTTTTCTTTTTTCTTTTTTTTAATTCAATCTAAAGATCAAAATCTATGTATTTTTTATTAAGCAACTAATTATCAAAATTATGGTTGATTTTGGTCCAAATTCTTACTATTATAGACATCATTGCCACATTGACCCCCTTAATTGCTGCATCGATAATACATCATCTCAAGATTTTAGAGCTCTTCGACCGAAATTTTAAGGACTAATTCATTAATTGGAAAAAAAAACACTATAAAGACCTTGACAAAAAATAGATTTTAACCAAAATTGACTGCAACTCTAAAGATTAATTTTTTTTATAACTAAAAAAGGAATCAAGAAATCAAATAATTAAATATGTGAGAGTGCAAAATTCAGTTTTTCGTTCTCTTTATGTGAGTGTGCATGTGAACATGTTGAATATAATATATTAATTGAAAAGCAGCCCTTGTGTTTATTTTATGTAAGTAAATTTTAAGCAGTCTTAATTACTACTGCCTTTATATTTACAAAATTTTGTTTCCCAATTAATTTTCCAAATTGCAAGTTCCTGAGCTTAATATATCATTGTACTTCAGGGTCAAATATATATATATATATATATATATATATGTATATAATTGTACTGCATAATTTATTAATTGACTCACTTATTGCATTTTATTATTCCATAGTTTGAGTAAAAAGTCTATTCCGCCAGCAAATCTTCAAAAGAATCAGTAAACCATATCTGCTGACTTATGATTCCCCACTTTGGACTAGAAGTCTTCACTTAATTTTCCTTCAATTTCTTTCTTTTTTAAATTTCTTTTTTGTACTGACTTTGAAAATGTTTGCATACCCGTCTTCGTCACCTTCAAAACATGTTACACGAGTAGTATAATTTAATTATCTCAAATATTTGTGTAGATATATTAGGCTTGCTATAATTATTAGATTGAGTTGGTTGGTATGGATGGCGCAGAAAAGTATGACATTAATTTAGTGATAAATAGTGCTATAATCTTGGAAGCTGCATTCTTTTTTATCCCAACTATTTTAGCTTTGAATTTGAATTCATATGAAAAGCCACCAATTTAGACTTTGTGTGTTATCACCAGTGATATTGTGAAATATTAACATAAAAGAAGACAATATATAATAATTTAAAAAGTAACTTATATGCACAGAATTTTATGGGTTATCCACACATAACAAGATTCTTCTTTGTGACAAAATTACACCAAGTTCTCTAATAATAAGATATAACTTAGTCAAAAGTTACAGAACTCATATCGCATTATGGGTTCCTTTCTTTGAAATACAGAAAGGTGCTAAGTCTTTTGGGCTAACTCTTGACTCGGCCAAAGAAAATGTGATACTGAGAGCCCTAAGAATGTTAAAACTAGCCATTGAGCTTCAAGTGGCGGCTATAACACATGGTGTGAAACAACCAAACCTCTCACAATTACATCTTAGCACAATCTAGTACGATTCCATATGCATTTCCGCATTTCAATCTCATACAATCCAATGTCCATAAATTGTTATCATATTTCAATACTTAATATTGTTCAGCATCAACAACAAAATCTCAAAATAAATAATTCATGCCCACTTAACTAATAAATTTATCAAAACATAAATTTGATATTTTTATTTCACACTTTTCGTACATAAAACACTATGACATATAATGATAATATTTATAATATTAACATATGTTTATAATCACATCAACAAGTATATAAGGTAAATTAGAGAGTAGTTACTTCAAATTCTTAACACAAGAACTAAATTGAGAGGATTCAAGACCCAAGAGCCCAAACCAATTCACTCTACAATGATAAATTTATAAACATATATTAATAAAAATGTTAACTAATGTAGTAATAATTACCTAGTGGTT